CCCCCAAACGTAGGCAATACACCCCCAGAATGGGGCCCAGTGGCCTCCCACGCACTCACCTCTGCAGTGTCTGCGGTAAGGGATTTGCACGTCGGGAGACCCTACGCAGACACGACCGCATTCATACTGGAGAAAAGCCCCATCACTGCACTGTTTGTGGAAAGTATTTTAGAGAGGCTTTTCACCTCAGCAAGCATCAAACAGTCCACTCTGGGGCAAAGAACTACAAATGCAGCATCTGTGGGAAAGAGTTTGGATACTCCCAGAGCCTCAGGAGGCATAGCAAACTCCACCAGAAAGGGGAGCTAGAAGAGGTGCCCACAACACCAGCTCCGGAGAACCTTAACAGCTTTAACCCAAACCCTCAATGTAGCGTGGCCCAAGACAGGAGCCAGAACCAAGCACCAAGCACCTCCTCCTATTACTCCTACTCTCAAGACGTCAAGCCTCAAGACACCAACCCCCCGCCACAACCTCCACCCCCACCCCTACCACAGCCCCCACCTCCGCCTCGACTCTATACCTGTGCTATATGTTGGAAGTCGTTCCGCCATCACTTCCATCTGACTGCCCATCACCAGACGGTTCATGAAGGTGGAGGTGAAAAGCTCTTCTGCTGTGAGGTATGTGGGAAAGCATTTGCTTACTCCAATAGCCTTACTCGACATAGGCAGTCACAGCATGGGATGACCCGCACTGAACCGCCAAACCCGCAAGAAGGCAGCAGTGGGTCTGGAGACAACAGAGGTGGGAGTGATGTTAATCAGTCAGCATCCGAGAGTGAGGCTGCCACCAATGCCCTGCTACAAATGGCTCCTTCCACAGAAGGCCATGGAGGGCAGAGTCTAAGTGTCGTTACTCATAGCCACCAACAGGCACCCCCGCAACCACCAGCTGGTTACTCTCCTCTCTTCTATGATGCTTCCCATTCTTCAGCCTCTAATGCTCCATCTTACTCGCAGCCTCTGCCTCCAAATTCTACAATCATGCCCCCCCAGCACCCGCATTCCCCAGCCGGGGTGAAAGGAGAGCACATATATCCAGCTGGATCCCGTAGCCGTACGCTTCACACCACAGCCCCGTTCCAGCCCCTCACGGAACTGCCCTCCACTGAACATCATCATCTGCATCATCATCATCATCACTCCCACCATCATCCTCATCTTCAGTCAGGTGCCCAGTCCCACCAACACCTTGACTGCAGCATCCAGTTATCACATGATGAAATGAGACGACACAAGAAGAAAAAAAAAAAGTCCAACAGCAGAGATTGGAGGGAAAATAAATGGGAATCCCAAGATTTAGTCAGATTTGATGGAAGCAAAAGGAAGAGAAAGATAAGTTGTACAATAAGAGGGCAGTTGAATAAAAAACAAGGCTCTCTTCGTTTGACAATTAGACGAGGAGGAGGATCAGGTGGTGGTGGGTATAAGCTTGTCAACACTGGGGGAATGAAGGTGCAGATCCTGTCGTCTCTCAAAGTCCCTGTGAAACGTTTTGGCTGTCCTATATGCCCCAATTCTGTGTTTTCTCGTAAAGCCGGACTGCTAGTCCACATGGCAGTTAAACACCCCAAAAAAGCCACAACCACTCAGGAGCGACTAAGGTGCTGTGTGTGTGGGAAGCAGTCTCACAGGCCTTTGGCAGCCTTCATCCATCGGGCCTCCCATCGTGCCAGGGGGACTTTTTCCTGCCGCCGCTGCTCCATTCGCTTCTGGAATGCTACGCTGCTCCACAGGCACAAGGTGTCCTGCCGCCGCAGGGCTAAAGGACTGCAGCGAGGAGATGCTAAAAGGCTGAAGCTTTCAAAGACACCAGGAGAGAGACAAACCCAAGAGGGTCAGGAGGAGATGCCATTCCTACAGGGACCATATAGATACTGAGCATCCTGGTTTCTGAAAAGAGTGGCAAATAAGAAAGATATTTCAGTTCTAATTGGGAAGATGAGAAAAAAGGGACTTGAGGAGAATTTGCCTCATGTCTCTGTTAACAACTACTGTAGAGCATCCTATAAAATCATCCTATCACCAGAAATTCTTCCATATTATATTGGAAGGTGTTTTCAAAGACGTGACTGTTTCCATAGGTTCATTAACCCCTTAAGTGCATTGACACTATGCTTGGCTGACACTGTGCAGTTACTAGACAAGTTTAGGTGAAATGACCTGCTAATGTATCTCTCTTCCCCATAACTAGAATCCCTGCTACACCTCTTGCTGTATGATAAACGTCTCTGCTGTGTACTTTGTCTTGTTGTTGTTCATTCAGAGGCTCTGAGGATTTTTTAAAAATGTAAAGTGCATTTATTAGGAGTAGGGACATGGGGACAAAGACCTTTGTTGATAGTTCGTCAGTGCATGTTTGTTCTCTGGTCAAGTTTTTTGCTGAGGTTGTGAAATCACTCCTACAGTATGTGATGGTTTATTCAGTATATCCCCAGAAGTTTGTAGTGTTGAGCATAATTTGAAAGTTACTCTATATTCCCTAGTGATTTAATCACATATAGATAAAATGTCAAAGTTGCTGGTAATTAGCATTACAAGGATCCCTCTTCTGCCAAAATGAAGAAACTTACAAAAAGCCTTGCTTAGTATGTTCAGTTTATTTCATTTATTTGAAATATTCCTAGCTTTTATACCAAGAGATTGAAAACAGGTTAAACAAGTGGACTGTAACACATGTTTATCTCATGTTATTTGTATGCTCTTTTTAGCAGTGATTATTTCTACAGTACTTCATGGTGTGTTAAAGTCATGGACCTATCATAATAGAAACAAATGTAATATTCCATGTATTTATGTGTGTAACCCAATCAGTCTTCATGCCAATCTTACACTTAACCCCTTCAACCTTTTTTACTTTTTGCTGAGTTGCAATCATATTCTTAGTGTCTAGCCTTGTTTTTCTTCTTCTAAAGGTTTTAAGTACATCTTGTCACTTTATTCACTTATGAAACTGTCATACCCTGTCAAGCCTTGTTTTTTTTCTTCTAAAGAAAAATGATAGTTTTAGTAGATTTCTATCACATTATTTACTGAGAAGTAAGTAGTTGATTATATTTCAGCAATGAATAAACCTTAAGTGTAATAATTTGTTTTCCTTTCATTTCTCAAGTTCCCTACCGCAGTATCCAAAAGATGGTACAAACTGCTGCTCATTGAACATGAGTAAGTTGTAACTGTAACCAAAGTCAGTATTGACGTTTTACAATTATATTAAGCTTTATGTCCTATATGAATCTCATATCACTCTGTGGATAAAATGGATTTCAGGATGTAGCCTAGTTAATATACCAATACATTTAATCAAAGTGTTTAGGCTTACCAGTGTTATTGGCCAGATTACACTAAGGTAATGACTTGTTTCAATTATTAAAACTTACAGTATATTATCACCATACTCAAAATAAATGACTGTGTTAAATTTTTCACTCGTAGCTCCACAAGATGGCAGTAAGCAACTCATTTATAGTGTACTCTTGGCCTGGTGTGGATGAGTGTGGCAGTCACATGGATTTTGCACTGATAGGGGGTGGACTAGAGAGGCTGAGCGCTGTGTGACTGAAGTATGTCCCTGTCTGCTGTTTACTACAAGATTATTGCCACAAAGTAAACAACATGCTTTAACATCACCAAGTAATCTAACTGAATATTTAGAAATGAATGTGGTTTAAAAGAGAAATTCACGTAATGTAATTTTTGCATTAGAAAATTTAATTATTTCTTACTGTAACCTTTTCTGTGATTCCACATCAATGCAACTACAGTAAAATATTTGATACTTTCTCAAGTAACAACGACCACAATGTCCTGCAAGTGATGGAGTTAATATATAGTGTACATGTTAAAGTGATTTTAATGTCACTAGTGTCCAAGTGTGTGTGCATTCAGATTGATGATAAGAATCTGCCTTGCTTGCAATGTGAAATATGATGATTCATACCCACTGTTTTAGGTGGGGTGACAGGTGGTTACAATCTTAGGGGCCCACAGCTGGAAAAAACTTCCAGTTGGATGGTTTTATTTAAAAGTCAAGTCAGTTTTATTTATATAGCCCAGTGTCACAAATCACAATTTGTCTGAAGTGGCTTTAAAAGAAAAGAAAAACAGTGATTCTTAGCACTGTGTCAACTGAAGAGGCCCAGATACTATTTCTTACTGCTGTTATATTCAATATTATTCACACTTGCTACATAATATTCATATGTGCTCTTTATTATTCACTAAAGCTTTAGCTGTATGATGCCTTATGTCTGTCAGCTATTTACTTGTTAGCTTTTACATATCCAACTCTGGGGAAAAAAAAAACATAGGTGAATTCCTGCGGCGCACTGTGTTTTGCATGTGATCGGCAACTCCTATACAGTAGACTAGACAGCCCTCGCGCTTTTTGTCTTTCGAACTGGTCTCACGCGGCAGTGGCATGCACGGGGGGAATCCGAGCGGGCGGGTTTATTCGACCTATTTCTGCCCAATGGGCGCTCGTCGTGGGCGGAGCGACAATTTTCCAAAGCCAATCGCAGCCAGAGCCGCGAGCGGACAGGCCGTGTCTCCGCGTGCCTGATACACGTGAGGTGGAACAGCTATTGTACGCCGGGAGGCAACGTGCTGAAGCGTTCCTCTCGCCTGAAAAAACGGCACACTCACGTTTTCTGTGGATTACAAGGAAACTGGAAAAGCCATGCTGCACTAGCTGATTATTACACAAAGCCAAAACTCTGCTCTAACAGAGAGGGGTAAAATTAGGAGCCAGTGTTTTCTGAGCAAAACTACATTAGTGATTTGTGATGGTTTACTAGTGTAAATGTTGTTTTCTGTCATCACACTAAATCTTAAATGCACATCTTTATTGCTGCAATATGAACACACTAGGAAAAGTCACAGACAGTGTGTGTACCTGTCAGACAAAACAAACTGTTCTCCTTAAGTGTTGCACGAGGGTAGGTGTGTCATAAATAATAAGCGAGAATTGAGAGGTCTGTTAAGCCCAGGCCCCGCCCCCCTCGCGCCTCTCGCTTGTTTCGCGAGGTGTGACGTCACGTGAACTGCCCGTGTCCGTTCCAGCTGAGAGCGAGAGAGAGAGAGAAAAAGAGAGAGAGAGAGGACGGTGGGACGTAAACCTAGCACGGCCCAAACACACACCGAAGCCCGTGCGCCCGTGACTGGATCCACCGGATGCAAAAAAAAGTACAGACGGAGAAAGAGGAAACGACCCCCTCCTCCCCACACGACAGACAGCAGAGCGCGACAGCAGAGGAGCGAAACACCAATTCAACTTGTCATCTGACCAATACAGCCACTACCCTCGTCGCTGTGTGTTTTTTCTGTACACACGGTTTTCCTTCGCTTGTTTTGTTTTGACAGAGGTCTGCTTTGCAACTATTTTCGGGTCTTTTAATCGCAGGACGATTAAGTCGGGATAATACTCTGCAAGTTTTAATTGTGACATTTTCCTGTCCGTGCTGTGTGCGGAGGATTTATTGGCATTTTCTAGCATTTGCGTTTTTTTTTTATTATGGACAGTATTCCTACTCAGATAGTCTGAGTGTCCCTCTCACACGGGTCCTCTGAGAATATCAGCTTGATATACTGAACAATTTCAACAACATCCAACTGCAATGGAATATTTCGATGAAAATATTTTTGCAAGGAAATAAGGAACTCTACAGTACTACAAGTGAAAGGTAAAAGTTGCATGTGTTTTTAACTTAAGTTTCCTAAGTATAATTAAACTGCGTCATTAATACAATGTCCGTATTTGCAATTGCATTACAGTTGTTGCTTTATTCTGCATATGCACTTCTCAAAACTATGTCTCTCTCTGTACTCCCCACCCTCCACCCCCACCCCTCCTGCACACTCACGCATCCAGCGTACTTGTCCTATTGGTAGGTACTTCGGTCAGTTCGCCACGCCCATTCAAGTGCCCTAGGTGTCTTTTTGCGACCCCGACTGGTTCAGGATGTCCAGGCAGCTCTCCCAGCTTCCGACCCCTGACCTCCCAGCTGGCGCAAGCCCGCAGTTTGGAAGTTGTACTCAGCCTGCAGGCTCCCTCACAGGGGGGCATCTCAACTCTATGACAGGTCTTAAATCCCTCCTGCAGCACCCCATGAAAGGAGACCAACGTTTAAAAAGCCCATGTGATGCAAAAGGTGAGAAACTCCCATTTGATGAATTAATACTATGTCATTAAAGACCAAACATTACATTTATCATAATTTATGGTACCAGAATTTCACACAGAAGTCTTGACCAGCACCATCACACACACACACACACACACACTCAGGATGCCTCCTCAGTGACCCTGATGCGTATTCACCTGGGTTATAATCCCTGCTACGACTTCAAATTAGGATCCAGATTACAATGAGTGGTGACATGTTTTGGTTTAGCTGTAATGCTGTGCAGGCATGTGTTCTGGTTGCTTGCTGTGCCAAAGTGTACCTCCAGCTATTGTGAGATTTGTTCAACAGCTTATGTATATGTTATGGCAACAAATTGGTTTTCAGCTCTTGGTTAATGCTGCAATTCAGCTGCCATCTGGTCCATCTGTGTGTGTCTTTTTGTGTGTGTATGAGACGTAGAACATAGACACAGAGGTTTTGCAGACGTGCATCTTACGGATACACCTGCCACCCCATTTAATTCTGAACATATATGGAGAGTGGATGTAAGCATCCATTTGCCACAAAACCGTTTAGTGATAGAACTTTCTGTCTGTTAAAGCCACAACAAAGTTATTCATCATCTTCAGTCTGTACTAATAATGATTCTGCTCTTCTATTTCTGACAGACAAAGAGAGACTGGACCTTGATGAGGATTCTTTGGGAGTTTGCCCCATGAGGAATGGCAGTGGGATAGCCAACAGTACTAGTAGTAATGGCTGTGGAGGAGGAGGTGGTGGAAATGGCAATGGAAATGGGAATGGGAATGGGAATGGGAATGGAGGAGGACCATTCAATCAGTTCTTGGGGCCTCTCTTGTGGGATCGCACCCTGCCTGCAGATGGGGGCCTCTTCCAGCTTCAGTACATGGACTTGGAGGAGTTTCTGACCGAAAACGGAATGGGCAGCATGCATAACAACAACAGCTCCAGTTCAGCCCAGATCCCCTCACAGAGCTCCCAGTCAGCTGTGCCCAACCAGAGCTCCCAGTGCCTACCGCCCTCATCCCCACCTTGCTCCACATCTTCATCACCTTCGTCCTCTTCTTCCCCATCGCTCATCGGTTTGGAGGTGGCTCAGCCGCAGAGCCTTGCAGGAGGGAACGACTGTCTACATGGTGAGTTCACAAACAGTCAGCATTTTGTCTTAAAAGATGCACATTTGAAAAATAAATAAATGAACAAGGACAGTTCATTCTTCAAGGTTTGTCCATATCAGTTCAAAACAGCAGTATCAAGGAAGAGGGTTCTGCAAACTTTACAGAGTTGACAAGCTGAAAGAGACAAATTGTGCCCTGCCACTGATATGAGACTAGTAGACCCTACAATCAATAATAGTTGAGATGTACAGTAATCAAGGTTATGTGGTGTGCTTATAATGTTCCCGCGGGCTAGAGATTCAGCACATCAACTCTCCTTTGCGTTTATAACGAATACCATGGTGACCAAGCATTTTTCTGTCCTGTGGGACCAAACTGAAGGCAGGAGATACAGTCACATGGCTTCAGATGCAAAGTCAACTAGAAAGAGAAAACAGACTGAGTTTACTGAACTTTAGTTTTCATTTTGTAGCATGTTGCAGGGTTAAATGTTGGGAGAGGAGGTCAGGGAGATTTGAGGAAAAATTCAGAGAGAGGATGTATGAGAAAAAGGTAGGTAAGTCTTGAGGTATTTGATGAGTCAACCTCACAGCAATGACAAGGAGGGTTTGGCATGTGATCTATGTACTGCAGTGTACAACACAATCAGCATTCAGTCCCGGCCAATGATGAATGTGCAGCAGGGTCAAAACAGTACTGAGAGAGGGAGAGGGAGAGAAGTGTGTTTGCGGTTGCGTGTCTTTAAATCTCTCCTCACTTCACAAGCCATGGACATGTGTACGCGTCAGTACACGTGCCGGGGCTGAGAGTACTGGAGTGAGAGAACTAGAGGCAGGGCCAGTATGGAGGAGGAGCCCACAGGGAGGAGGGACAGACAGACAGAGCAACAGGAAGAGTTTCCCTGTGCTGCTGGACTTCAAACAGAACATTTGATCAACAATGAATGACATTAAGTTCACTGATAGCCAGAAGAGAATATTATACTTTATGGGACATTGACACGGGACCTTTAATGCAGTCATTTAGTGACAAATTTGCATGCTTATAAACTCTGATAATGCATTTATATTGCATGATAAAGTCCAATGCATTTGTATTACAATTTGTTTATATAAAATAATTAGTTAATTATATAAAATATAAAATAGATTATAATTCCAAAAACATTAAATATAAATGTAAGCCTTGTTGTTAGTTAAAAATGGGTTATTTTTGAGACGAAAAGTTTATATATGTCATGAGTGAATAATTCTCCTAATCTCTTACAAAGCTTGAAACTAGAAAGCTGTATTCTCATTAAGGTGCCAAACCAACAGCTGCTTCATAAATATTGAATGGAGCAACACCCACAACACATGATTATCTAAGTTACCTTAGAAGGACAAGGGCTACTGTTTACCTTCACAACAGCTTCAGGCCTTCTTGGAATGCTGTTGTCCTGAAATGTGTGCATATGTCACATATTGGACCATTTCTTTAAAAACAAAAACCTGCTTCGTGGACATTATGCACGAAAACCAACTTAGCAAGTGCACCAGAGCTTCCCAAAAAAACAGGGAGAGGCAAACGTGTACCACAGGAGGGCTAAGGGCTTGCAGGTTTTCATTCCAACAAAACACCACACCAGGTGGTTGCACTGACTAGTTCCTGCTGTCGGCTTTAGGTAGCAGAAGTCATTGAAATCTTCTGGTTGAGACACACACAGAGGAAAACATTCATATTTTCTGGCCTCTGTGGCACTTGGTTGCCTACAGTTGCCACACCCAAATTCAGTGATGTTTACACCCGCTGATCATGTATTATGGGACATGCTTCATTTCATCTTGGTGTCTGTGAAAACACTTCTAAAATGCGTTGTGTGCTGTTATATAGAGCATTGTCATTGTGGGAACATTGGATCATCACTTTAGGGTGTATCTGGTGTAAAAAAAAAAAAAAACATGCCCTCCTACTACATGGCCATAAAACAGCCATTACTCATTATAATGTACTCATTATACATTATAGCTGCTTATATATTACAGGTAGGGACATATATCATAGATAGAGGGGGTGGTTGGATGAATAGAGGGGCCCATTACACCACATTGTGTACTCTTTATATTGTTCTTGGATAGTGTTTCCACATAGTAAGCATTAATTACCAGCTTAGTGGAACTTAAGGTGTACATGTTTTGTTTAAACTGTGCTTATGCAATTCTGTGGTCATTTGTCTTATTATGTATCCTTCTACCCCAACCCTGTTCCCCTTGCCAATTATTGCCTATATTTCTAACAAGGGTGTTGAGTTGTTTGTGTATGGATATTTAGGAACAGTTACATGGAGTTTTGTGCTCTTATAGGGAAAGAAAGTTCAGTACGAATGGATCATTGGGGTTTAAAGGGGGTGGGGTGAGGAGGTATATCCCTATAGTGGCCCCATTTAAAGAAACTAGCTTTAAAAAAAAGGTGGGGGGGTAGAAAGTTACATAACATTTCCACCTTTAGATTTCTGTATTGGTATTTGGTTTGATGTTGGCTTTGGTTAACCAGGATTTGTGGTTTTCATTAATAATAATAGCCAATAGCATGCACATATTGAATTAAAAGAATGAATGAGGTTATGTGTCTGTTTACTAAAACGCTTGTTTGCGCAGAGCTTGACAAGATTCCGTAGGATCACACAGGAACATAAGGACTACTCTCTACTACATAATGAGAGATACATGATGTGGAATGAAAAGATGGATATCATGGAAAAGCCTAACATTTGCTTAGTATTTCTTACTACAGCATCCTGTAGCTCCATTATATATGTTAATCTGTATGCTAAATATTATATGTATTATATTATCTTATCACCTGTATTTGCAGGGTATATTCCCAGATTTATAAATATCTTCTTAAGATTGCCCCAAATCTGACAATCTTAGAGTCCATTAAAGCAGGTTGAAAACCATCCTCAGTTCTTTGGAAGCAGTGAAGGGCAAAGGAATGTTGTTTGTTGTTTACAACACTACTAAAGTAGCTCTCTGCAGCCATCTGGTGGTCATTATGATGTAATGCTGCATGTGTGTTTGTCTTGTTGTCTTAGTGGACTGTGGTCAGCAGCTACTCTATCTAAGTGTGACAGTATTATCAATTTCAGGATAAATGTTGCATAGTGAACATCTTGCAAAACAGATTGTTCTACTCTTTAATTTCAGGGAGTCAGACGACTATGAACGACTCCTGTGAGTCACCCTGCTCCTCGTCCTCGTCCTCGTGTCCACCTCTGCTGACGCCAACGGGCAGTGGGCCAGATGGGGCTGGAATGTTTGACATGGATGCTTCAGACAGCATGTCCAGCTCCTCTGGCCAGCAGAACTTCGACCTAAGACACTCCTTCAGCGAAGAGGAGCTCAAGCCACAGCCAATGATCAAGAAGGCCCGCAAGATCCTGGTGCCCGATAACATGAAGGTGAGTCTGAAGCCTTCACTGCAACAAATTGGTGCAGCAGTGGTGGGCAATGTGCCCCTTGGGAGGGAAGTAATTTTAGCTCAGGTCATTTTAAAACATCATGAGTTTTTAAAGTGATCCTCTTTAAAGTAATAGATTGTTGTTTGCTCTATAAAACGTAAAACTGTGAAAATATCATTCACTGCTTCCCAGAACACAATGGCAGCATCTTCAAATTGCTTATTTTGTCGACCAACCGTCAGAAACCCAGACATGATTAATTGACAAGCAAAGCAGCAAATCCTCACATTAGGGAAGCTGGAATCAGAGAATCTTTGGCATCTTTACTTGATAATTAACTTAAACAGTCAATCAAATGACAAAATTATCGCAGATTTTTTTTATTTTTAAGGTAAGGAATTAAAGATCTATTTATATACCACTTTTTAAAATAAAAGTTACAAAAAGAAGCGTAAACAGTAAGAAACAAAAACGAGAGCAAGAAAATACATTTTTACACAACATGAAGGAAACTTCATGAACAACTTGAACAAAAAAAACGCATCAGTTAAGAAAAGAAAAGTGGGGATATATAAGTGAAGTTAAAAATGTGCATGATTACATTATAATAAAGTTAATATATGGAAGAGCACAAAATATTCCACAATAAATCTATAAATAGCACTAGAGTATTTTAAAGGTACCTTATATTTCTCCAGCAGTGGGATGTTTGACTTGTAGGTTGTTTGCATACTTTATTTGCTCTCAGACACCAACTCAGTACAGACCAAACTCTGAGGATGAAGCAATCTGAAAGAAACATGTCCCACACTCATTCATGGCCAAACACCCACATTACCCATAACAGGACAGGAGTTCGGCTGTATAAGAGTACTACTCTCTTCTTAAGAAACAAGTCTGAACAGTTATTGATTAGTTTATTGACTTACTTCTACCTAATAATATCTAAATTCCCTAATCAGCCAAGATAAATCATTGGATCAAAATGGCAGGTGCTGAAATAATCAATGTGTGCTTTTATTTGTCTGTCCTCTGTTAGGATGAGAAGTACTGGACCAGGAGGTATAAAAACAATGAAGCAGCAAAGCGTTCTCGAGATGCTCGCCGTATAAAGGAGAACCAAATATCTGTGCGTGCTGCCTACCTGGAGAGAGAGAACTCCGCCCTCAGACAAGAAGTGGCTGAGATTCGGAAGGAATTGGGCCGCTGTCGCAACATCCTTAGTAAATACGAAAGCCGTCTTGCTGACCAGTGATGAAGGCGTGGAACAAAATCAGGAAGAGGAGGAATAAAAGCTGGATTAAAATTTAAGACTTTGAATTTTTTGGGGTGATGTGATGGACAGAACGGGGTCAAGAAAATGGTGATGATGATGAGGAAGCTGATGATTATGATGATGAATGTATAAGACAAGGAGAAGGTCTGTGTAATGAAGCTCAGGTGTCTTGTTTTGTCGAGGTGTCAGCTCTTAAAAGTGAAAGATGGAGAGAATAATTTAACAGATGAAAGATGTGACTTTTAAGAGTTTTGTTATTGGAGAATTGTATATTTTTATAATACTTACGGAAAATTAGAGGGAGAGCAAATTTGGAGAATAATTTTGTATATTTTCTACACGATGGGGACATAGAGATGGGGGAAAGCTATGCTAAGCATCTTTTTATTATAGATGAGTCAGGACAGTTTAACAGGTGGTCAGCCATCGATGGGTATTTTTCGACTTGATTATTAATGTCAGGATGCAGCAGCAGGGGCGAGGACGCATGTAACAATTGTAATATAGAGAGCAAAAATTATCTTATAATCGTATAGTTCAACGTTTTTGTGGCTTTTACTCAAGCACTTATTTTTCATTTTTCCTGTTATGTTTCTGTCACTGGGAACGGGCATGCTAAAGAGAGACAAAATGAGGGATAAGAGGAGGCACCATGTACACAGTCCAGCACTATCTTCAACACTTGTCTTGACCAGTCTTGTGCGTTTTTTTTAATAGAACAACATCATCCTTTTTAATTGAGTTCCCCAACAATATTAGTTCATTGTACTTTGAGCTTAACTTTTGCAATTGGCACATCTTTCTCTAGTCCTTACATATATCTTTTACTTGTATCTATTTTTCTCTATCCCAGTTGACTGCTTTTAATCTACTCTGGCGTTTCGTATCTTACCTAAGCTGGTGAAAGCCTGTTGTGATGCCCGGAGTAACTCTGCTCCTTTTGATCCTCTCTTTAGATTGTTGGGACATTTCTCTTCCTCTGTTTCTAAATCCAACTGCTCTATTTCTGTCTGATCTCACTTACAGCCAGTCCCCTCTCAGCTATGTGCAAACTCTTCCCTTTACGTTTTGTCCCCGTGTCTCTCTTGTACCTCGTCGGTGCACAGAGTAGTTAAATCTCAATGTTGTAACGTTTTTCTGAAATAGTAATTAATCTTCCCAGTAAAACGCACATTGTTACTTTACTGTACTTTATGAACACACTTTAATTAGCATTACTATGGGGGGAGAAATGTTGTGTATATTGGATAGGCCTATACTATTTTGTGTATTTGATGTATTCCAGGAGATGGGTCGACTACCCCCATTGAGTGGAATGGTGTTAATATCTCAGATTTCTGGGAGAAATAAAAGCCAAAATTTCCTATGTTGATCCACACAGCTTGTTGCTATTTAGTGCTTTTTTCAATACTACATCCTTACTGTTTACTCCTGTTATTACTCTTACTTTTGACTGTATCTATAAACTTCTCTGTGTACCCACAACACCTACACAGTGGCATGGTACACTATGTTATGTTCCTGGGGGAGGGATGACTAGTAATAGAGTGTGATTTTTATCCCCTTAATGACCATGATGAATAGTTACCATTACTGCTATTATTATTGTTATGATTATGATGATTATCCCTCTTGTTGTTGCAGTTCTATATTATTGAATGATTTTTCTTTCCTTGGATGAACATGATCTGTTGCACCTTGAAACATCTTTGATCTTCAGTGTTCCTCAGAAAGACTATTCAAATGGAAAAAAACCCTCACTGTCTGCCATTTGAATCCTGTCTCAGACCTCTAGACATTACTCACTTCTGCTATGGACACAACTGCCACCTTGGTTTCTTTGACCATGGATTTCACAAGCGTGGCAGTAACTTGAACATAATGTTCATGCAGACTTACTTTACCTGTCAAAGACCTCTTCTGTTCCCCTGGCAGTGTATGGACTATGCACACTATCAATATGCTCCTTGTTGGTTTATTTCAGCCTGAATCAGTGATTGTTTGCTCTCCCAACAGGATTTAGTCTCTAATATCCTCACAGATGTGGTTGATAAATCTTTTAGTGACTCTAATTGAACTACAACTGCCCTGCTGCATCAGTGGTGTCCATGGTGCCCAGCCCACTTAGTGCTGGTTATTTGGATGTAGTCGAGATTTTTCCAAAACACCAATAAAAGATTGTTCTCATTCACTACTGCTTTGTTTTTCTCTGGTGTTTCTCTGGTGTTTCTCCACATGTTTATTGCTTTTTAGTTGTTCTGCATGCTTCTCTTCAGCTTTGTGTGCTAGCATCTTGATGCAAAGCCCACTTCTGACCGGGGGAATGGGCAACAGAGGTCAAATTTCCGGAGGACTACTACTCTATTTACTTAAGCCTGATAACCAGACTATAATATGCAGTGAAATGTCTCAAGACTACTTGTTTTGATATCCTCCTTGTTTGTTCACATTGTGTACATTCCTTTAATAGGCAAAGCATGCCAGACATGCATTCTTTCCCAAAAAAAAGCTGATTCCCTTGGACATTAAAAAAAATATTTTTCACTCATTTCTAAATGAAATGCACTCTAATGTGTATGGGGACAAAGTGCTCACAAATAGGATTAATTCTCCAATGCGTCTGGGTGAGAATATTTAGTTGTGAGGTATGGTGTGATTATAAAATAAGTGTGTGTACCAGCCTGTACATATATAATAGAATGAAAAATATAAATCACACAAGGCTGCGTGGGTGGTGGTATAGGAGGAGCACTCAGGTACAATCAATATCCTCTGTTGATAGCACCTGGTTGTTTACTCCCGTTTGTTTATTGTGTGTGGTGGCAACAGCCATGCATAGGGCATCCCCTTAATCTGCCTTCTAAACAGAAATGGGTGAAAGGTCCTTCAGAGTGGAATTTTCCCCAAATCTTTCCTCCTCAACGCGAACCAGATGTGTGCTCCTGGGCTGTGCCCTCTCCCCCCCCCCCCCCCCCCCCCCCCCTTCCTTAAAAGTGCTGTGTCTGTGCCTCCCTCCCTCATATCGTCTGAGGCCTGGCTTCAAGGATGGACTGTGCACTGCTGCTGCTGTCCCTGTGGGCTCTGACTGGAACGGTGTCCTTGCAGGCTCCAGGTAAGCCCTCTGACTGCATTCATCACTCACACCTGATAGATATCACCAAACCATTTATTGAGTGTCCTCTGGCAGTGCAGTTATTAAACAGCTGGCCGTTCCCCTGCATACTGTGTTGCTCTGTAGATGGTATTTTAATATAAAGATGACGATGTAACCAGGGCTCAGGACTATTTAATTAATCAGTTAACCATTGACACTTGAAAATGCAGTGGACCAACTAAGGCTGGGACTATGCAATATATTTGGATGGTTGATGTTCACAGTGCACTGACTTAAATAACTTGAATTAATAATGTTTATGGTGAATTAAAAAGTCTGGATTGCCAATATCATACAGTACGAGTCAAGTCAATGTTATCTAAAAAACTTTTACTTCTGTTTGCCTATTTGTCATTAATTATGGGATGCAGCGTTTTCCCACAATGTAAAATGATGAATTACATATCTGTGTTGGATCATCTTTAACTTTTCACACACACCTTCACAGGTGATTCTAGGCCTTCCATAATTCTGGTATTTCATGATATGCAGTAATTAATTAGATGACCATTATAATATTCCATAGGTGCATGCATGTACTGCACACCATGTCTCCATGCTGTTCTGGGATGATCATGTGTGCATTAGCGCAGCAGCACATGTGTGTTCTGTTCACATGCGCTGTGGGCAGAGTGAATACAGTAGCACACGTTTTCGTTCTGAGGAATGAAAAATGGGGAACACTGTCTGACTCCCCCCTTAAATGTACTGGACATTCAGGGTGTGTCTATGCTGTTGTGCAATGTGAAATAAGTGGAGGATTTGATTTTATGATGTGTGATGGGATACATATGGAGAAGTGAGGGAAATGAGGAGGGGTTACAGAAAGATTACTCCTATAGACTGATTCACATATGAATTGCGTTTTAGACAAAGTTGCTCCACAGAGAAAATAAACAGTATTCACAGAAAACAAAACACTCTCACTTTTCTATAAAAAAACAAGATTGATAGCTGAATGGCAAAGAGTAATAAAGCCTGTCATTTAAACACTTACTCATCTGGCAACCTGGGTGGCAAATGTTTGCCTGGCCACCCACACTGAATTTACTTTCCTTCAAACAGAAAACAAAGCAGAATTGGCAAACAAAATCTCCACTACGGCCCTTAGTGTTTGTGGGTTTTACAAGGGGCCATGCATGGAGTAGAAGCAAACAAAGGGGCAATTACTGTGATGGTGTGAGAGTGTGTGTGTGGTATCACAACAGGGTCATGTCCGGAGAGACTTTTGGGAGAGGAAAGGAGAAGGACATGTCCTCGGCCCTGCAAAGCTGACAGAGACTGTGGCAACAAGCGCCAGTGTCTGTGTGACGGCCAGTGTGGTCTCAGCTGTGTGGCTCCAGGTAACTATTTGTATGCAATGTGCCCTCAGTTGTCACCGTGAACACCACTGTGGGCTCACTCATTAAAAGTGTTTGTGTGTGTGTATACGCAGCTGTGCCAACATACATCAGTGTGTGTTTTTCATGGAAAATAAAATAAAAGCCTTGGTCATGGACTAAATCTGGGCTCAAAATGTGCCATATGTCAGTGTTGAACACAAGCTTTTTATTATGCTTGTGCACTGTAAAAGAGGGTACTGTGTATGGATCCAGTTATACAACCTCATTAGCAACATTTTGGTTTAGTGCTAAGTGTTTCATTTATGTTATACAAGGAGAAATCCAGCACATTCTGAGAATTGTTTTTGTTCCCTATCTCTCTCCTCCCTTTGGATAATCTCTTCTCTCCTCAGGTCGAACTTGTCCCTGGCCTCTACCCTCCAGTGAAAACTCAGTGACTCGTCTCCTCTCTCCCACTCACTCCTTTTCTGCCCTGCTTGAAGTGCGCTGCGTGCCGGGATTCACGTTGCCCAGCGGCTTGGATGTCACTATTTGGCGTTGTCAAGGTGACCGACAGTGGAGTGGGGATGAGCCCATCTGCACAGGTGGGTTTGAGTCGAGCAGAAAAATGTTCTTTCTCGCTTCATATCAGCTTCCTTCATAACAGGGAATTCTAACCACAGGAAATGAACATCTGGAAGAATGCTGCTGTGGTATTTGTTACTTTTTTCAAATTGAACATTGTCTTGCTTGTACGCTGCATGTGTACAGTTCATGTGTTTAGGTCAATGATGCGGTCAGGGATTAAACGTAGCTTTTATTGTATTTTTGTGTTTACACAAGACAGACAAACAGAGAGACAGAGAGAGATTTTTAGGAATGAAACCCCTCTGTGATAGTGTTGACTGATATATTGCACAACTGGGACCTATTCTCCTCATCACCATAGCAACCAGAGCTTCAGTTGTTCATATTGGCTGTCTGAAGATTTTATTTTAGAGAAGAGGACAGCTAAACACACACATGTGGATGTGTATGTGTTGTTTGTATGTGCACCACAGCACCTATATTTTCATCTACTATATACATGTGTAGGAAATTATATGTGTTCACTTGGGCCCTAGTTTGTAGTGTTACTGTAATGACTTGCAATATGTTGTCAACATTAGACTGTAAGGTGCTTCTGTTTTGTTATTCTGTGTTATTATTCAAGGGGGGACAACTACTTATACTACACTAAATATGCTATACAATACTGCATGGAGCAATACAATACAACAAAAACCCAAATTACACCCTGACATGTGTCAGACCAGGTTTGCATCTATGTGGGCCACAGGGGCCAGAACAGAGCTCTAAACACATCTAAACAAATGCATAGTAGAGTAGCTGAATATTACAAGTTAGTTTACAACCAAAATACCACTGTACCCCCAAGATAATCATGTGGTTAAACATTTGTATATTCTGTCTGTCTAAATATAGAACAAAAAAAAAAGATCAATCTGAATAGGTGTCTCACAAATGACAAAATTTGTTCTACTGCTGTACAGCCTTATTACTTCTACCACTGTGCCGTAAGGCTGCACAGCAGTACATGAAGAAAAGCTATCAATACTTCTTAGTACCTCGGCACACCTCATCATCATACAGCACCTGCAAAAGCAAATGTGTTTTTTGCTCATTGCCTGTGTCGACCTGACAACTCTGATAAAAGCAATACAGTTTCATCTTTAAAGGCCTGAGTCCTGCTGCATTAATCACACAACTGGTGCTACAGTAAACATGCTTTCTTAGGAATCCTCCACCCAGCTGGGTCCCGGTCTCACCCTCCAGATTTTTTATCTTTTCAAAGACATGAAATAAGGATATGATTCTCAGCTCCCTTGTAGAGTATCCTCCTGCTGAGAGACAGGCAGAAGGTAGGTGGGTTTTGAACGTGTGAGAGTGTTTGTATTGTGTGTCCTCTGCATGTGTGTTAGAGTGTGAGTCGAGCTTGTTCATGCCTGTTGAGAGGCAGTGGGCGGATCACTGTCAAAGTGGCACAGAGCTGCATACAGTGTGAATGCGTAGCCGTGTGTGTGTGTGTTCATCGGACAGAGGTAGAGAGGTAGATTTTTTTCTGTATACATTAGATGTGTATGTGTGGGGGGGTGGATTGCACATGTGTTACAGAGTTTGTGTGTGTCTGTGTGTGGGCGACAGATCACAGTCAGGAGAGTCAGAGAGCTCTCTTGCTCATGCTGCTCCAGGCCTTTCTGTTCCCTGTTCTCCTCTCCTCTGCTCTCTTCTCTCATCCTCTTTTCCTCTCATCTCTCTCTCCTCTCATCCTCTTCCATCTGAGGCCTCTGATAAGGTCTCTCTCTACAATGGGAGCCAAGGACAAGCTTGCAGCTCTAGGCTATTTAGTTTGAGGTGCGTGTGCATGTGTCTGTGTGTGTGTTTGTGCAAGAAAAACAAGAGTAAAAACACAACCATTATATATTTGGTGTCAATCACAATGCTGTGTATTTAACATTGTGGTTCATTCAAAATCACTGTTTTTTAAAAGATTAATCTGATGTACCTGCTTCATAGCAGTTTAGTGCTGCAGCCTGTGTGGGTGGCAGCAGTACGAGGCAGAAGAAGGGGCGATATGTGAAAACAGAACTCAGCTTCGGGCTCTCATCTGCAGCCAAACAGACTCGTAACTCTCCCTCTCCCATAGGTCCCTTTACA